TTGTTTTCTTTGTTTATTTTATTTTGTTTTCTTTATTGTGGCTTTTAGCATCTCAGGCTTGTTTTTGTGTGCTAGCTGATTGAAGTGCACTGCTCACTCCTGAGAATCAGCTGGTAGGAAGGATCTCAAAAAGAGGACAACACTTATTCCCTCTTCCATTAGAGGCCCAGAGGAGTAGAGAATTCTTGCTTCACATGGTTATTTCTGATAAAGTGGTATACAGGGATAATCATAAAAGTATCCATTTGTCTGCTCCCCAGTGTAGAAACTCATGTAAAAACATAAACTCTGGTTTTCTGATTAACAAAAGCGTCTTTTAAGACATCCGTGAGATGCCCTCAGAGATTATGGCGAGGTTCTGTAAAATATAACCTTTCACCTACAAAAAGGCTGCTTTCTAACTGGATGCCTTACTTGATTATTTGTTGTCCTGATCATAATATTTAAAACAGCATCTGCAATATTTTCCCCTCAAGGAATAAATCAATACTCGTAAGGTGTCCTTATTTGATTTTTTGGTTGGCCAGAAGAACTTGGTATTCTTCTCCTTTCCTTTCATGCATTAAGTATAAACAAACAGTGCATCTCTGGTTCAAGCAAATTTTAAAAATCTTTACATTATTTAAATAGTCATACCCAAATCCAGCTGGTGGATAACAGGCACAAAAGCATGGGACAAACTCATCTGCTAAAGAACGAAAGAGAGGAACTATTTTTCTAAAGGTTTTTTTTTTTTAAATTAATTACACGTATACATTAATTCAGAGCTGTTTTTTTCCCCCTCTAACTTCTTCCTAAATTGGAGAGCTCAGAATCTGGTCTAACTCAATTGGCCTCATTACCATCATGTTCCACTTAAATCCTTGTGCACACAGTATTTATTGGGTTCTCTACTATTCACAGGAAGCTCTAGCTCTGTTACTGGGGCACAGACAGTCCTAACCCCACTGATCCACTTAATACATGTACTGTGATTGACAGTCAATAGCCTCATCTTTGTTTTAATGGACAGAGCATCATTCTTATCGTTGACAAATTGTCATTCCCAGGTTTGGGCTTAGTACAAATGGGACACATCTTTTCTTTCTTCAAACACAAACTCGAATTCGCCTCATCTTTTTGGACCACTGTGATTCTGCTTCTTCTCAGCTGTGTTTTACCTGCCAACATGTATGAGGCAGACATATGGAAAAAAGTCCAGTGCAACTTACTGTCAGTGGATATGACTAGACTTTCGGCTGTGAAATTTGAGTCATGTTTGAGTAATGAAATAAACAAACTAAAATGCAGCGCAAGCACAAGAGTCAGCCCTTAACCAGTATCTTTCAAAAAATAATTTCAGCTAAGAAAAAAAAATTTTATTCACCTTCACAACCTGCTGACTCTTGAAAGAATGACTGACATCATTCCATTAAAAAAAAGAGCCTCTCCTGCTTGTCTTCCTAGAAACTGGTAATTTTCCTCTTGATTAAATGTTTATTATAGAAAATAAAGGACTTTCCTGGTGGCTCAGATGGTAAAGCATCTGCCTACAATGTGGGAGACCTGAGTTCGATCCCTGTGTCGGGAAGATACCCTGGAGAAGGAAATGGCAACCCACTCCAGTACTCTTGCCTGGAAAATTCCATGAACAGAGGAGCCTGGTAGGCTATATAGTCCATGGGGTCGCAAAGAGTCGGACATGACTGAGCAACTTCACATTCACATTCATTCATTCATAGAAAATAAAAGCCAAGAGAAAAAATCATGCATAATTAAGAAGCGTCTTTTAAAATAAGACACGGGATGTGACAGTGCTTTATTACCTGTAAAGCCCGACACAAATGCAAAGAAAGTAGGCTTAGAATCATCTCTGGTATCAGGTAGGCCTCTGCCCTGGTAACAATCTTCCGAGGGTGGAAGTAGGTGTCTGGGGTGTTGTTATGCCCAAACTGCAGAAGTCAGAGTAAGAAATAAAAAGACACCACGATGCCCTCCAGTCAGACTGCCACGGCAGTCCCTCAGCCCTCCTCAGAAGACCTCTCTCATGCCAATGGGGGTACCTCCTAACAGCCATTCCTGCTCATCGGGGGTCCAGATTATTCAGAAACTCTTCAGGGAAAGAGCAGCCCCTTCTTGCCACTGGATGTTCCAATCATAAACAACTTGTGCTTTTTATATCGAAGTGAAGTCTGTCTGTCTGCAAGTACTACTTGCCTTTGTTGGAAGTCATGGAAATACTCTAAAACACACGAAATCCCTCTGCTGCCTGGCAGACCTTGAATATTTGAAGACAAATAGGACACGTTCACTCCCCTGCCCAACCTTTCTGCTGGTTTAAACATCAAAGCTGGAGATGTGAAAATTGGTGCCATTAAGCTAGCACCTACCTAACTAGTCTGGAACGGTTAATCTGAGTCAAACACTTATTGCACACTTGGTGAGTGAAGCATATAAAGGCGCCTAGTTCTGCCCTTTAAGGATACCCAATCCAGTAGATAGAATTAATCTCAGTTAACAAACATAGTGTGTCCACTGTGTCTTAAGGACTTTTTATGGCTGACCTTGTTCCAGATAAAAGAAAAAAGGCTTTTTCTTTTCTTGCTATTTGAGAAAATGATAAATAAATATAAAAATAAGTATGTCTTAAAAGTCTTGATGCTGTTAACATCAGTATTACCACAAATGCACTCTGTCAATTAAGTAATGATGATGCTAAAATGAATTTATCCAATAAATGACACATGAAAGTTATGCACCCACAAGAGTGATTTTCTGCCACAGGTAAAAGGATTCATTTGTTCTTTTTGAAAAGAATCAACAATAAAAATATCTAATTGCCAAGAAACCTGTTTGTTAGATTGTTAGTATCTACAAATGCTACAGGAAAAATCTCATACACATGAATTACTGTCGAGTACTTTAGATATTAAATATACATAAACTAAATTTACTGAGTAATTACATCATGATGCAGAGGAATAATAAAAATTATTTTATCTTAAGGTTTTCCAGTAGTGTCTATGCACATGTAAACATACGTATAAAGATACACATATAAATTTACCACAAACCTTAAAACCTTCTCCCAAAATGTATTTCACATAAAATGAACATTTAGCCAAAATAAATAAATTCAAAACATCTTTGGAGGTACAAGCCACTTTAAATGTTAGCATTATTTTCCTTGCAATTCAATGTCAAGACAATGCAGAGGAATTCTTGATTGTGCAAAACAAAACAAAACCCATTTAATAAAACAATAATAAGGCTCTTGAAATACATTTCAGACTCAAAAGTCTTAAAACGGCAATTCTAGCATTAACATTCTTACAGGTAGGTTTCTGGAAATGGGTAATACATTACGGTAGAACAGTCGGGCGGCTTGTATTTTGTTATTAACACTGATTGCTGCAACTTAAATAACAGCGCGATTATACTTCCTCTTAAGGTCACTTCGTTTCATTATAGAAATAGATCATACTGCCTAATACCAAAGCTTGTAATTAATACAGGTCAGCAAGAAAACAGGTAAGTTAGATAAACTAGAGTAACTCGCTGTAGTAGACCGCGGCTCTGTAGCCGAGCCTGGAGCCCGGCATTCCGCTCAGTTTCATGATTCACAAACAAATCGTTATTTAGGGTAAACTAAAGCCCACACCAAAGCTTCAGAAAAGGGCTGTAAAGGTAGAGTACTTACGTAAAGGGTTATCAGGACAGGAGACAATGCAACTTATCTGGGAGGGTCTCTAACGTCCACGGGGTGGTAAAACGCATTTGAAAAGGCGATGTGGATTCGGATGGCCGCCTCCCCACGGCATCCCAGACAAAGCAGGGCCAGGCCCTCGGGCGCTCCTAGTGCACCTGCAATGCGGATCCCTCACCCTACAATCCCACCCCGGGGCTGGCAGGAACGCCCCTGGGCCGCCCTCTCCTCCCGCTTCGGGTTAGCTTGGGTGCGCAGTGGGTTCGCACCCCAGCCTGGACTGTAGCCCTGGCAAGGGCAACCCCTCCCTATAAAGGGCTGGAAGACCCTCAGGCAGCCGGCGCGGGGTCGCCGCGCCTCACTTTTGCACTCCTTTCCACCTATTCGTTCCTCACCCCCCACCCCCTCCCCCGAGATGTCTCCGTAAGGGGACACCCTTCCCCACCCCGTGGGTCTGGAGGACCCCTCCCCTTGCAGTGAGGGCTTGAAAAATTATTTAAATGAGTTCCCGCTGCGACAGGTGCCGCCGGCCCCGCCGGCACCCGCAGAGCCTCCCTGCAGGTACCGCCAGGTGAGCGGGGCTGGACGCGATCACACCTCGGGCCCCGCCTCACCTGCGGGCGCAGCCGTCGCGTTCCTTCAGGCGGCTCCCCCCCTCGGCGCTATCCTCGCGGCGGGAGGCTGCGGGGGCCGGCGGCCCATGGGCGGGGCGGCGGGCGGGGCTGGCTCCTGGCTCCGGCCCTGCCCCGGCCGGGCCGCCGAGGGAGGTCAGTGGGCACCGCCCGCGAAGCGCATCTCGCCGGCTCCCACCCGAGCGCTCGCCGCGGTGCACGCTGGGAGCGGGGGGCCGGGGCGGCGAGAAGGCCTGGCCGCGCTGACCCGGCGGGCGGCCGAGGCGCCGGCGCGGCGGCGGCGGGTCTGTGTCTGCGGGGATGGGCGGGGGAGGTCGATCGATACTCACTTCGCAGGGACGGGGTGACGCCCCGCCCCCACTCTCCCGCAGCTGTGCGGGGCTGGGGAACCGACCAAGGGGAAGGGAGGGTCTGGCCGGTGGGACGCAGGCGCACAGCTCAGGTGCGGCCGCACTGCGGTTGCCCAGGGTAACGCGGGTCCGGGTGGGGCGGGAGGGGAGGAGGAGGAGCGAGGGGGGCGAGCGGGAGCGCGCGCGCTGGGCGGTGGGGGGTTGGGGGGGAGTGCCCGTGACAGGCCTGGGATTGGGGAGGGCGGAGGGCGCGCGCGGGCCGCCGACAGGGGCGGGGGCAGAGGCGGTGGTGGGCGGGGGTGGGGGGAAGGGGGCCAAGGCCGGGCGGCGCGCATGCGTGCGGCCCCCGCTCCCCCGGGGCTCGCCGGCTTCGTGCGTGCGCACGCGCGCTGTCCCCCGGAGGCGTCTGGGTGTGCGGAGCGCGCGCGCGCGGCTCGGAGGCGCACCTGTGAGGTGTCCCTTGAGGAGAGGGAGGGTGGGTGCGCGGAGTCCGCGGCCTGGGGCGCTTCAACCCCTCACTTGGAGTGAGTTCTGGGGTGGCCGGGCTGTAGTGTCTTTATTTATTTTCGGGATCAAGGCGGGGGTGAGGGGGGTGGCTAGGGAGCGGGTTCTGGGTCGGAAGGAGGATGAGTGGATTAAAGAAAAGAAAAACAACCCATTACTTAGGATGGGCCTGGAGCCGGGGCGAGCGCCCGGGCATCGGGTGGGAAAGGTCAGAGTGGCCCCGGGCGGCCCGGCGGCCACCCGGGCCGGCCCGGGGGAGGGCAGCCTGGCTTTGGGCCTCGGCGAGCCGGCGTGGGCCCGCAGTGCTGGGGAGCGGGGGTCACAGATGGCGGCCAGGGCGCGCGGCGGCGGAGGGGCAGCGACCGGGGCGAGGCCGGGCGGAGGCCCCGCGGGAGCCGGACCCCCGAGCCGGGCTCCATTGTTGTTGGAGCCAAGGGAAGGGGGAGCAAAACAGCTTTAGAAACCCGTGAAGCCGCGCCTTGGAGCCTTTCCAGGCGGGTCCCCGGAGAGGCGGTAATGGCCGCGCCGTGGGATCAAGGGAGCCGGGCTGTGCCGCGGGGAAGCCTGGCTGCATGGTGTGATGTGTGTGTGTGTGTGTATTTTTTTAAGAGCGCCTCGCGTCCCAGCTGAGCCAGCCGAGCATCCTACTCAGGTGATGAGGAACCCTCCGGGCACCCAGCGCAGATCGCTGCTGCCGCTGGACGCCTCCATTGTTTGACCATAACAAGGGCCGGATTCTCACCCAGGTAAACTGGATGGCAGCGCAGTCGAGCTCCCTCCCACATCCAAAGGAATCCTCTTCTCCTCTTTCAGGACTTTACTTTAGTTTTCTTCCTGGGCCCTGCTTCTGATTAACTCAGTATATCCACTTCCCAGGCATTTCCCCATCTGGCTTAATCTTCCCGCATCTCTCTGCCCAGTCACCTCTCATTTCCCTCAAAACTCAGCTCCTTTGTGAAACCTTCCTTGCCCAACTCTTAACAACTAAATCTCTCCCAGAGGATCCTGTTCCGGACTCTCCTAGTTGATAGTTTATTGGTTGTCTTATTGCACAAAGGAGACTAGATATTTGTAAAAATTCTAAGCTGTTGCCTTTTTTTTTTTAAAGGAAAGTTTTGTGATAGTTTATTGTTTCAAGAGAATCGAACTGTTTTTGTTGCTATATATATATATATATATATATATATTTTTTTTTTTTTTTTAAGCGGGGGTTCTTCCTTTATAAGGTTTTCTCCTTCCTTTCCACAGTTTTTTAGACCTAGAAAAATGATCTTCTTGTTCAACCCACAGATTGATTGAAATCTTAAGAATTACTTTTAAATCAGCAAAGTAAAACCGTTTCTTTGTAAAAATTAACACAGAGATGGCTAATGTCTTTGACTACAGCCCTCTGTTCCCAGAGATAACAACCATGTGTAACCTTCTAGATCTTTAAAAATGTTTTTACGCCAATGTGTACTTGTATTATCTTCGGCTGTTTTAACAAGTATGCATCCACTCTAGCTTTCAGTTCTTAGCATAGGATGCATTCAATTATTTTGCAGAACTGCTGCATCATGTTCCATAGTTTGAGGACACCATAGTTTATTTAGCCATTTCCTGAATTGATGGCAATTTATTTACATTTAAAATAGCTTTTTTGGTTGTTCTCTACTGAGATTTTAGTGAAGAGAGCACAAATCTACACTTATTACAGAGACTAAGTGTTTATGATGGACGTTCTCTTTGGTTCAGAAATTTACATGTGGGGACAACCCCCCCACCTTGTAATTCTGATTCTGTTTTAAAGACTCTGTTTTAATTGTGACTCCTGTGACCTTGAGGAAGACATTTAATCACTCTGAGCCTGAGTTTTCTTTTCTATAAGTAGTGATAATATCTGCTTTATTTACTTTATCAAGTTCAGTGATATGATGTGTGTGAAAGACTTTGTAGAGTATAAAGTAGTATATAATGTTGATTTTGTGATCTGAAAGGATTTTTAAATTTGCACTACAATTTATATTTCCTTCTTTGGCTAGATATGTATGTAATAAAATACTACAGCTAGCCAACTTTGCTGTTTAGTTTCTGATTTTGTCATATTTTTATCAAGTACTCTTGAGACTTCTGAAAGAGTATTTTACAAAGCATATTTTTCATAGTATTTTACATGCTCTGAAAAATAAGGCATAAAAATTAGTTGACTGTGAATAAAGCATCAGCAAACTGAACACTACATAAAACACTCATGTAAACAGAACTTCCTAGTGATGTAAATTTGTTTGTGTTTTTCTGTAGCAGCAACAGATTCAGGTTAGTTTTTATGACCTTTGAGTACAATGGATTCTTACTGAATTTGCCAGAGGTATCAAGAGTTTTAACAGTTTATATACATATTCAATAATGTGATGGTTATCATATTAAGATGTAGAAGGCACAGTTAAGAGGTATGTAGGTATGTTTTTCTTTTATTCAGATGTACATGAATGCTTCTAGCTTGGCCACCAAAATCAGCTTGCCCTGCACTCTTCTGGTTTAAGTATGGGGGCAGAGGGTTAGAAATTAAACACTGTCATGCAGCTGCTTCTGTAATCACAAGCCAGCATCTGCTATGCCAGTGAGGCAGTACTGGCTATGAGAAAGTATTAAAAAAGGGACCAACTTTTAGATTGCAGAGATAGGACCCAGGAAAGACTTTATTGCAAAAATAAGCTTTGAGCTGAGATCTGAAGGGTGAGTAGGCGTCAGTGTAGAATGAGATGGGGGATAATTTTCCAGGCAGGGGAACGGCATGTGGGAAGGCCCAGAAGGGGGAAAGCTTTGCCCATTCTGGGAACTGAAAGAATGACTTGTGGATAGATTATGGTGGGTGAAGGGCAAGTGTGGCTAGGCAGGGGGCCAAATCATGTAGGGTCTTGTAGGTCAGGTTAAGGTTTATTTTATCCTGAGTGAAATGGGAAACCATTACAAAGGTTGGGTTTTAAACAGGGGAATGACTTAATCAGATTTGCATTTTAAAACAACCACTCCAGCTGCTGCTACCTGCAGAGTGTGGGAGTGGAGAGTGAAAGTGGGGAAGACCAGGTAGGCGATGTCAGAGGTCTTTCTAGAAGAGAGATGGTCTTTCACTTCTAGTTTGCATTAACTTCAAACTACCAGCTAAACTAAGGTCAAAATAGATACTTGTTTGTAAAAATAAATAATTTTTTATTTTCAAAAAGTAGGCATAAAGATGCACTTTTTAATGCAAAACACATGTATGTTAAACTGTTCATACTATGGTTAACAGAATAGGATCAGAGTAAAAATTTGGTATATTTAACATATTTTTGGTAAGTTTTGTCAAAGCAGGGATACATGAAATAAGAGTGAGGTGAGGTTCTAAAATGAAAAGAAGGGAAATATTTTAAATGCTATTGGCTAAAAAAAATGAGAATAACAGAAAAAAAATACTAGATAAAAAAATTGAGAAAGCAGCTGGGCACACAATGAGTATATAATATTTATAGCTTTCTGAATACTAATAATAACTTTTTCAGAAACTAAAATGGAAAAACAAACAAAAAAGCAGGCTCTGATCACAATGCAACAAAAACCACGAAACAGGTAAACACAGCTTCATCAAGACAAGTGCGACTGACGTGCCTGGAAGAGACCAAACAATAACCTGAAAGATGAGAAAGAAACTGAAGGATAGGCCATATTCCTGGATGTGATGTTTAAATGCTACAGAGATACCCTTTTTCAGGTGAACTGGACGGAATAGCGAGTAATGAGCTAGAACAAGCTAATTGTTTAAACATATTGTAGAACCAGTTGTGTTTAAACAGTGTCACACTAGCTTCAGAGTATCTGGATAGGTCACTGGAACCTATTCAACACCCCAAAGATAAACTGTATATGGAAGTGTAATAGTGACAAACCATCACGAATGCCCTCCAAATCAGAGAAGATACGGAAGTAAATATTAAACATCTGGGCTGGACTTCCCTGATGGTCCAGTGGTTAAAACTTTTATCTTCTAATGTAGGAGGTATGGGTTTGATCCCTGGTCAGGGATCCCACATGCCTCAGGGCCTAAAACATAAAAACAAAACAAAACAGAAGCAATACTGTAACAAATTCAATGAAGACTTTTAAAATAATTCCCACATTAAAAAAAAATCTTTAAAAAAGTAGGGGAACATCTGGAAAAGGGAGTTCTGTATGCCGAGGTGAACAGAGCACAGGCTTAGCGATCAGACAGGCTTGAACTGGAATTTAAGTAAGAAAAATGATACCCACCATACAGGTGTTGAGAGAGAAAGAGGTACAGGTCCTGGTACCCACGAGACATTCAGATCTGTTATTAGTTAAAATCTGTATTGGACTACATGAACATTGACAACTTTAAGAAGAAAGGAAAAATGAAATCCTAGGATCAAAAGCCAAACCACAAAGTAGAAAAATAGTTGTGACAAATGTAAGTGAAGAGTTAATATCTATAACACGTAAAGAACTCATACAAATCAATGAGAAAATGAAAATCCACACACATGGTTGCAGGATGTGGCTCGAAAGTTTAGTGGATAGAGATACAATTTGTTTGACATTTAGAAAGATGTATAATCTCACTAATAAGTAATTTGTAATTGTTCCTGTAGAAAAATAAGACTGTATTCTCAATAGCAACAAAACCAGAAGACATTTAAGAGTAACACACAAATGTACAAAAGCTCTATGAAAAAAGTAGAAACCTTTACCTGAAGAATTGAAAAGCTAACCCAAATAAGTGGACAGACATTACATGCTTTGGAAAGGGATGGCATCTTTGTAAAGATTGTAGTACTCTACAAATTAAACTGTAACTTCAGTGTAATTCTAGTTGAAATCCCAGTGAGACTTACTTTTGGACACTTGATAAATTGCTTCTAAAATTTGTCCAGAGGACTAAATGTGCTCGAGTGGCCAAGAAATTTTTCAAGTGGAAAATACTGATGAAGGATTTGCTATGCCAGATATCAAAACATACTGTAATGGTACAGTTATGTAAATGGTGAGTACAGGAATAGAGAGGTTGGTACATGGAACAAAGTAGAGTCCAGTAACCCATTTATATACAGAGGAATTTATTATATAATAAAGTTGGTATTTTGAAACAGTTGAGTTGGATACATTGGATATAATGTTGGATACATTGTAGAGGGGTAAATGACTATTTGGAGAGAAAGATTCTACTTCCCCATATTCAAAATGGCTTATTTGAGTTAAAGAATGAGCTTAAAGACAAAAACACCTCTAAAAGTATAAGAAGAAAATATAAGAGAATTTAGTATGTTGGAAAATAAGTTTCTAGGGTAAGCAGTTTATTAATACGTAAGACCAAGGCCCCAGATCATAAAGAAGAGACTGATAAGTTTGAACATCATCAAAGCTGATATTTCTGTGTGATGTAAAAACATTATAAGTTGACAGACTAGGGGAAAAGTCCTGGTATCATGTACAAACAAACAAACAAAAAAAAGCCACTTCCCTGGTGGCTCAGATGGTAAAGCGTCTGCCTACAATGAGGGAGACCAGGGTTCAATTCCTGGGTCGGGAAGATCTCCTGGAGAAGGAAATAACAACCCACTCCAGTACTCTTGCCTGGAAAATCCCAGGTCAGAGGAGACAGAGGAGCCTGGTAGGCTGCAGTCCATGGGTCCCAGAGAGTTGAACATGACTGAGTGACCTCACAAACAAAGGAGAATAGAATTG